GCTGGAGTGTTGTGGAGCTGAGGGAGCTGGGAGGATGAAGCAGGAAATGTGCCCCCACAATGGACCTGGAGTGCCTCTTGCTTTCAGATTGAGTCCCCAATCTCTGGATCCAGGAAGGCCCTCCAGCAGAGAAATCAAGCCTACTGCATTGAAAGAACGATGGAACCTCTGGGCTGGAAGAGCTTTGAAAAGTTCCCTGGGCTCCACGTGTCCTCTGGGCTGGGGTCCCCCGCTCCCCCCTACCCCTGCCAGCCCCCTTCCTTATGGTCATCCCACCTACGAGTGACAGCACCCTCCATAGAGTGGTGTTCCAGGAATTGGGATGTGCTTTGGGGAATAAAGGGGAAGGGAAAGAAGGAATGAGATGAGACACAAGCCTTGAGCGTTGCTTCTGGCGCGCTGCACTCTTGACCACCTGCGAACAGGATCTTCCTTATGTCCGTGCCTGCGGAATGAGCTAGAGCTGGGCACGAAGGAAATGCTGTCGCCTTGTGGTCACTTTTTGTAATAACTTTTAAATCTCTTGAAGGTGAAAGAGAAGAGTGAAAAAGCTGGCTTAAAACTCAACATTCAGAAAACTAAGATCATTACATCCAGTCCCATCACTTCATGGCAAATAGATGGGGAAACAATGGAAACAGTAACGGACTTTATTTTCTTATGCTCCATAATCACTGTGAACGGTGACTGTAGCCATGAAATTAAGAGACGCTTGCTCCTTGGGAGAAAAGCTATGACCAACCTCAACAGCATATTAAAAAGCAGAGACATTACTTTGTCGACAAATGTCTGTATAGTCAGAGCTATGGTTTTTTCCAGTAGTCATGTATGGATGTGAGAGTTGGACCATAAAGAAGGCTGAGCGCCAAAGAACTGATGCTTTTGAACTGTGGTGTTGGAGAAGACTCTTTAGAGTCCCTTGGACTCCAAGGAGATCAAACCAGTAAATGTTAAAGGAAATTAGCCCTGAATATTCATTGGAAGGACTGATGCTGAAGCTGAAACTCCAATACTTTGGCCACCTGGTGCAAAGAACTGACTCACTTGAAAAGACCCTGATGCTGAGAAAGAGTGAAGGCAGGAGGAGAAGGAGACGACAGAGGGTGAGATGGTGGGATGGCATCACCAACTCAATGGACGTGAGTTTGAGCAAATCCAGGAGACAGTGAAGGACAGGGAAGCCTAGCATGCTGCAGTCCATGGGGTTGCAGAGAGTTGCACACAGCTGAGCAACTGAACAACAAGCCATGAAGTCAGTGGCATTTTGTCACAGCAGCCTCAACAGACTCTGACACCCAAAAGAATTGAAAACTACTCATATAAGCACTGATGAGCATGTAAGCACATGTATAAGCATATTCATAGCAGCATTATATACAATAGCTAAAAGGTGGACACCACAAATGTCCATCAGCAGATGAATGGACAAACAACTTTTGTTATATAATACAGTGGAACATTATTCAACCATAAAAAGGAGTGAAAGAATAAGACAGATACAAAAGGTAACATCATGTTTTATTCCATTTATATAAAATATCCAGAATAGATAAAATCCATAGAGACAGAATGTACATTAGTATTTGCAAGGGCTGAAGGGAGGGAATATTGGAAAGAAACTACTTAATGAAGATGTTTTACTTCAGCGTGATGGAAATATTTTAGATTAGAGAGAAGTGATAGTTGCACAACAATGTAATTGTTTAAATGGCACTGCTTTGTGTACTTTAACATGGATAACTTTGTTATGTAAGTTTCACCTCAACAAGTATTAAGAGAGACTCCAAAGTGGTGTTCCTGTGTGTCATAATGAAATGACATTTAAGAAGCAGGTAGATCTGAGCAATGTAGGGCTATGTGGCCACAGATGTTGCTGGCATCCAACCTGAACACTTTTCCCCTACCTGCTTCGAGTGTTGAACTCATAGCTGCCTTTTCCCCAGAGACCTGCCCTTGCTAAAACAAGAGCCACTTTAACCTGGACACTACAAGTCATCCCTTGCACCTCTTCCTCTTCACACACTTCACTAACTGGCACAAAAATCCCCCTGGTGGTGGGGAGTCAACCCTGCGGGACAGGCTGCCCTCCAGAGCTCCCTCAGGGAGAGGCAGACGGAAGCTGAGACAGAGAACTGCCCCAATAATTCATCTGAGCAAGATTTGTGGTCTGACGCTTTCTTTCTACAGGAACTGATGCAAAATGGTTATGTAAGCCCAACACTGATGGTGAATTTTATCGTATTTGAATCATATCTCAACGAAGCCATTATTTTTTAAAAATACATTATTCATTTATAATAAAGGTTTTTTGTTGTTTTTCTTGTCTTTAAGAGCCCATCTCACCAGGGTAACACATTCCTGAATTCCCTAGTCAGATTGTTTCTTAAGTTGAAACTGTAAGCATCAATAATTTAAAGGGTAAAAATGTTTGTTCTTGACTCCCAAACGCCCATTCTTTTAAAACCCTAAATTCCACTGAAATGATCTCTGCGACAATAAACGAAGTTAACCTCGTCACCCCGCTTGACAAATACAGCTGTCTCCCCCCATTAACGCAGTTGTTGATATACTCGTTCTCTTGTGACTTCTTGCTTAAAAAAATCCATACCCACAAAGTAGGCACATCGATTCAGTGTTTATGTAATTCAACCTTTATTATAAATGTAAAAAAAAATTTTAATGGAAATGATGTACAAGATGATCATAAAAGCATTCTAGTGAGTGACAAGTCCTGGAGATAAATGGAAAAGGCAGCATGACAGTTCTTAGCAGCCCTGCCACCCAAGGAGCTACAGTGTCCACACTAGTCCTCAGAAAAATGAAGAAAAGCCTCTTATGTTGAAATATGGGTTTTTTTAATAAGTTTTCCTAAAGTCAGTTTCTTATAATGCAAATGCCTGTGATGTGCCTTTACTGACCCTTGATGTTCACAATGACGTTTGTATATTATTGTGTATGGCCAGACCAGGAACCTGCCTTCACTAGCAAACTTGGGCCTGTGATCTTGGCCTCGCTGTTCATCAATGTACTGGCCGTATCCAGAAGAGTTCTACAAAAACTTATGGAACAAACGGCTCTCCGTTCAAAATCATTTTCTTAAAATGATTGGCTTAGTTGAGAGATTAAAAAGAAAAAAGTCAGGAATCAGAAACCAACCCCTTGGTTGGAATGCAATGAATAGGCCCTGACATCAGTTCTCAGAGGGGGAGAAATAAGACACCTAAATATCCTTTTAGAATATTCCCTGATTCTCTTTACTGTCCCACAGGCCTGGAGGGTCCATCCCTAATTTGGCTTCAGGGTTCTGGTATGGGCCTTACACCTGTTAGTGGCATGTTCTGACCCCGACCCACAGGGGAGGGAACCATGTGGAAGGTCAGGTTTCACAGGCCATGGAAGTGGGGGGGGTGGGGGGGAGGGCGGTGCAAATAGGACAACTAGGTTTGTAGGAGGTATAGCCGGGGACAGCCTGGAGGTCTGTCTCAACTGAGAGCTGAAGGATTCTCAAGGGAGGGGTCTTCTGAACGGCCCCTCTCCACCAGGTGGGCCGTGAAGAGGCCTCCTGTGGCTCAGGAGGGAGAAGGGCTCTGGATGTGGCCATGCTGCTCTGTCTGGCACATCCTCCTCCTCCTGCTCCAAGTCAGTGTTCTGTGAACAAGGCAGCAGGTGAGGCCTGGCCTTGCATTTACCCAGCTGTAGCTCCGACACCTCTAGGGGCCATGCCCACAATGAGCATGTTCTGCCTGCAAAGTCAGTCTACTGGCTTCTGCACTGCACCCCTATGGAGAGAATCCATTTTCTCCATGCCACCTGACATTTGTGCTGGACCTACCTCAAGCTCCTGCAAAACCTTGTCCATGAGGTCCCGGGAGTTCTATTTGTAAGACACAGCTAGTCGAAGTGCATCATTGAAGAGCTGGGGTGGTGGGAAGGAAAATAAGGCTATGGGCACCAGTGGCTGGGACTCTGCCTGCCCTGTACCCACTGGCCCATCGTCATCACTTGTCCACACAATACTCCACCCTAAAATCATCACCTTTTCCCCATCCCCTGACTCCATGCTGGTCAATATGCGTTTTCTTCACCAGACCCAAACCATCACCTCCCCTACTGTCGACACTCACAATGACCCCTTCCTGTCACCACGTGCTCACCAGGACCCCTCAGCAATGCCTGTCCTCACCAACAGCCCTGCAGTCAGCCACTTCTCTACCACTTCCCCAGAAACATCAGCACCAGGCCTTCCCCACCTTACTAGACCGTCTCTGCAGTCTCCTATTACCTTCACAACATTGGTACCATCAGCAGCTGAGACAAGTACAGGAGCAGGGAGAACTTCCAAGCAAGCTGGGTCACCTTCATGTCTGCTGTAGAGAGAAGGTAGGACATTGGCCTGTCTACCAAGGAAAAAGGAGAGTTTTGAAGGGTTGGTCGCTGGAGGTCCCATTCTAGGAAGTGAGACAACCAGGGACAATTAGCAGACATGTCATAGAAGGAGCTCCTTTAACTGGGATCTGTGTCTCAAGGAGGCAGGTTGGCTCACGTGGATCTTACTGGATGGGAAGTTATGGCAAGCAGCCAAGGGATCTATATTGGGAAGAACAGATCACTGATGGTTCGATGGCCCAGAAAGGAGGAAGACATGTCTGATGGTAGGTTCCCCTATGAATTGCTGGCACCCAGATGTAAAAAGCAAAGACACAGATGTAAAAGCAGGCATTACTTTGCCAACAAAGGTCTGTCTAGTCAAAGCTATGGATTTTACAGTAGTCATGTATATGGATGTGAGTTGGACCATAAAGAAAGCTGAGCACCGAAGAACTGATGCTTTTGAACTGTGATGTTGGAGAAGACTCTTGAGTCCCTTGGACTCCAAGGAGATCAAACCAGTGTATCCTAAAGGAAATCAGTCCTGAATATTCATTGGAAGGACTGATGCTGAAGCTGAAGCTCCATACTTTGGCCACCTGATGTGAAGAACTGACTCATTGGAAAAGACCCTAATGCTGGGAAAGATTGAATGCAGAAGAGGACAGAGGATGAGATGGTTGGATGGCATCACCAACTCGATGGACGTGAGTTTGAGCAAGCTCCAGGAATTGGTGATGGACAGGGAAGCCTGGCAAGCTGCAGTCCATGAGGTTCCAAAGAGTTGGACACAACTGAGAGACTGAACTGAACTGAGATGTAGGGGTGGCCTCATTGTTGATTTTATCGGCCACCACAATGCATGGAAGCTCTGGCCTGTACCAGGTGCTCAGGTTCTTTTGTGATTTCCCTCTGCACATCAAATACCTGCAATCAGCAGAGGAAAGAAGACAGCCCAAGTGCATCAATGTCTCTGCACACCACCCCCAGGTGACATACACACAGGCTTGGGAAAAACGGGCTTGGGAACTCAGACCACAGACCATTCTGGGCTGCAGCTCCTGTATCCACAAAGACTACACCATGCCCACCCTTCTCAGAGAATTACTCTAGAACTTTCATCTTGTCACCAAATTTAACAATTTTAACCAAACTGTATCATTTTACTTGTTGCACCATGTACTTACTGATAAGTCTGTAACAAACTGTAAGCTTTTTGGTTTTTTCCTAGTCTAATTATTGTCTAAACTTTGTTTAAAAGCTCCTTTATGATAATTTTAACTATTGATAGAATTTCCTTTCAGTTATTTTGATTTACCTTTAATTATAAACTTTTAAATTTATATTTTAAACTTTAAAAAGTAATATTTGACTTTTATTATTATTAACAGAATAATAAAACTGTTTACAATTTATACTTTTTACCTATTCTAAAAATATCAACAAGAAGCATGAACACTGTGACTAGCTCTAAGGGACGCTTTCATCTTCACCAGTGACTGCTATGGACCTCAGGATCAACACTCTATTGCTTAATTTTTCCTGAGGTGATAATGCTCTTAACATCAAGGAAAAAAAAATTCTTAAAAATAATGAACAGGGGCTTTTGGTGGTCCAGCGGTTAAGACTCAGGGTTCCCAGTGCAGGGGACACAGCCTCAATCCCTGGTCAAGGAACTAAGATCCCACATGCTGCATTGCTTGGCCAAAAAACAAAACTTATGAATAAACTAGATTTATCACAGTATATGACAACGGATACTAGACTCTCTTGGAACCAGAAGTAAAAAATGAAGAAAACCCTTCATCATAGGTATAGAAATATTAGAAATAGTAAACAAAAAGCTATTCGAGAATTTTGTTTTAGAAGTGTGTGCCAAAGACTTTTTAGTAACATTTCTGGGAAACATCATACTGTGTAAAAAAGAGGCACCCAGGTGGTACAGCAGCTGTGAGGTCTGCGCTCTGAGTACAAAGTCACCTCCTAAGCCCACATGGGCCCAGAAGCCTAAGACATCCTATGAATCTGCAAAGGTTTTGGGGGAAAGATCCATTTTTGAGTTGAATTTTCACTAATAAGTTAGGACATCCCTTCTGATCTTAACTAAAATTAAAGGACCAGATGAAGGGTTTTCTAAATTTATATCATTTCTCACTAATTAATCTTTAGACCATTTTCATAGAAAACAAGTAGTTCCACAGTTAGGATTTTCAGCCATATTATGACACTTGGTAACAATATTTTTTAATATCATTTTATCTACACAGTACTTTAACAGAATACTGAAAATATAGTCCAACATCCCAGTTTTAAGTGCAATAATCAGAACCACCATTGTATTTAGGAAGTGAGAGTGAAAGTGAAAAGTCGCTCAGTCGTGTCTGACTCTTTGCAACCCCATGGACTGTAGCCCACCAGGCTCCTCCATCCATCCATGGAATTTTCTAGGCAAGAGTACTGGAGTGGGTTGCCATTTCCTTCTCCAGGAGAGGCATATAATATTCTAAGAAAAACAACCTTTATTTGGAGTGTGAGGAAGTTTTGCTGGGACAGTGGTCCTTATGCTGAAACTTCCTTTAGTTTCTCATTTCTAACAAACTAACATTAATGAATCGTAGCTGTCTTTACCAAAACTCACTACCATTGTGAGACTACTCTGCGACGTAACTTCAAGACGGTGAGAGAAGCAAATGAGGCGTCCTCTGAAGTTCTTCCAGAGACGCTTCAGTGCTGCCCGTGAGTTCCTCGGTGACACTGGGTGTCACTGGCAGGGGCTTCGCCCAGACTGGAGGCTTCCCAGGGCTGGAAGCCCGAGTTCCCAAGTGTGGCTTCACATGCAGGCAAGGTCACAGCTTCCTGTGCACCTTCTGGTGCTGGATGAGGTGGCCGTGCTGGTTGAAGGCGCGGCCGCACTCCCCACACTCGTAAGGCCTCTCGCCTGTGTGGATGCGCTGGTGCTGCACGAGCACTGAGTACTGGCTGAAGGCCTTGCCGCAACGGCTGCACTCGTAAGGCCTCTCGCCCGTGTGGGTCCTCAGGTGCACAATCAGCGTGGCCTTCAAGCTAAAGGCCTTGCCACACTGTGCACAGCGGAAGGGCCGCTCGCCGGTGTGGACCCGCTGGTGCTGGACCAGGGACCTGCGGGCACTGAAGGCGTGGCCGCACTCGCTGCACACGTAGGGCTTCTCCCCGGTGTGGACCCGCTGGTGCTGGGTCAAGTGGGAGTGCTGCACGAAGGCCTTGCCGCAGGCGTAGCAGCCGTAGGGCTTCTCCTCCGTGTGGATGCGCTCGTGGTTCAGGAGGGTGGAGCGGTGCCGGAAGGCTTTGCCGCACTCACCACACTCGTACGGCTTCTCGCCAGTGTGCACGCTGTGGTGCTGGATGAGGACGGAGCGGTCACTGAAGGCGCGGCCACACTCGCCGCAAGCATAGGGCTTCTCCCCAGTGTGCACCCGCTGGTGCTGGAGCAGGGTCCTCTTCACGCTGAAGGCGCGACCACACTCTGCACACTCGTGTGGCTTCTCCCCCGTGTGCACCCGCCGGTGGCTGCGCAGCACGGTGCTGTGGTTGAAGGCCTTGCCACACACACCGCACACGTATGGTCGCTCGCCAGTGTGGATGCGCTGGTGCTGCAGGAGGTGCGAGAGCTGCGTGAAGGCCTTGCGGCATTCGAGACACTCGTGTGGTTTCTCCCCTGTGTGTATCTTGTGATGCTGAGCGAGATCCGAACTCACTCGAAAGGCCTTTCCACATTCATGGCACGCATAGGGCTTTTCGCCCGTGTGGATCCTCTTGTGCTTGCTGAGCACTGAGCTCTGGCTGAAGGCCTTGCCACACACACCGCACACATAGGGCCTCTCCCCAGTGTGCGTCCTCTGGTGCTGCAGCAGGTGGGAGCTCCGCCCAAAGCACTTCCCACACTCCACGCACCGGTAGGGCCTCTCCCCACCAGGAACACCCGGGCGCTGGGTGACCGGCACGCTGGGACTCACGGCCTGGCCTTCAGGGGGGCGGGCAGGGCTGGGACTCAGACAGAAACTCTGCTCAGGTTCGTAACTTCCTGGATCACTCCACTCGGCAGGCGTTTTCCTCAGAATCATTGATATCTCCTCTGAAGTGAGCGGCCTCAGGCTGGAGTCTGTGTTCTGGTCCTGATCCTTGTGCTCACATCCTGAAACAAAACCAAAACCAAAGGGAGCGTGTTCAGCCCCTCTGAGACTGCAGAGTACATTCCACCCTGCAGGGTGGCCCTCGAGTGCCCCAGGCCGGAAGTCACCAGCGGGTGACAAGCAGGAAAGTGTCCACCTGACAGCGTGGCTCGAGAAGGGCCAGGTCCAATTCGAGAGCCTGTGAGGGGCACACGCGGTCACAGCCCCAACCCTGCCCTCCCTGGAGGGTCCAGAGGCCATGAGAGGCAGAACTGAGGCAGGACTACACCTGTTACTGTGCGGGGCAGGGAGGGGGCTGCTGGAGCAAAGCGCGAGCTCCTGAGAGCCCATCCTGCAGACTCCACCTGGGGAACAAGACGGGGCTTGCAGGTGGCAGTGAGGATGGCCAAGGAGGCGGGGGTGTTTCCACACTCAGGTCAGGGGCACTGCAGGTGGAGTGGGTGGAGCAGGGTATGCTGAGGATGACAGATTTCAAATCTTGAAGACAGAGCCACTGAATTGACAAGACATCACCAGAAAACAGGACTGTCCCAGGATTGGCTACTCAGGACGACGCTCATCCAGGATACTTGACGGGCGAGCAGGGCCGTGACAGCAGGGGACAGTGACAGGACAGAGGCAGTCCTCCAGGCCCATCTCAGCAACGCCTCTGCTGCTTCGTCCAGTTCCCACAAGGCCTGGCTGGGGACAGTGTTAAAATGGTCCTTGAGGGATGTCCTAGAGCAAGAAGCACAGCGGGCAGAGGAAGACCTGAGGGGGGCACACCTGGGGGGAGGCTTAGCCAATGGGAGAGAGCTGGACCTTCTCGGTCCAAGGGACCCACGTTCTGCTTCATGGCCAAGACCCAGAAGCCCTCCCTACCTGATTCTGGCAGGTTAGGGTCTCTCTGGGGTTTCTTATTAGGAAGCATACTGAATGGCAACTGGCCACATTCACTGAATTTTGCTTTTTCTGTAGCACGGATATTTTCAAGCCCCATCAATTTTCCCTTTTTTTGGTGGTAACACTATTACTGAGATGTAAGCTTCACTGTTGAACTTATTTAGAACTTAGGACAGGTGCTGTGCAACGGACTTCCTCAAACCCCAATGAGAGCCCCTGAAAAACAGCAGGCTCCAAAACCAAGCAGTCCCTACACCAAGAAAGGCACTTCCAAGACAGACTCTGCCTGAAGCATCTGCAGGGGTCTGTGCCTAGGAGGTCAACATGTTCTGTTTGCATGTTTTTAATATAATTTTACTTATTTTATTTTTGGCTGTGCTGGGTCTTCACTGCGGTGACAGCTCCTCTCCAGTTGCAGTGAGTGAGGGTTACTCTCGAGTTGTGATATGCAGGCTTCTCACTGTGGTGGCGCCCCTTGGTGCACAGCACGGGCTCGAGGCACGCGGGCTCTAGCACTTGTGGCTCGAGGGCTAAGAAGCTGTGGCTCCTGGACTCTGAAGCACAGACTCAGCGGTTGTGTCACATGGGCTTAGCTGGCCCACAGCACGTGGGGTCTTCTCAGACCAGGGACCAAACCTGTGACCCCTGCACTGGAAGGCGGATCTCAGTCACTGGGCCCCAAAGGAGGTCCTGATCACTCTTCTCACATATGGACAATATCATGAACTACAAGCAATGCTCTTCCTCTTTCTTTCCAATTCTTACAGCTTTACTTGTGCTATTGTGTCTGGTCTTGCCAAATTTCAGATGGAACCCCCAGGACAGCTGTGGACGGTGGGCTCCTGTGATTCACGGCAAACAGCTCTAGCCGCACTAAGAGTCAGCAGCCCATGTCCCTCAACCTCTGATGTCCATTCAGAGCAGGGACCTGTCCGGGGCCTGGAAGCCACATGTGCTCACCTTGCCTCAAGGCACCCAACCCACACCCAGCTGCACTTACCTCCCCGCCTACCCTGCCCTGGGCCTCTGCCTGCTGCCCACTCACACGCAGGGGTCCCTGCCAGGTCAGACCCCAGGAGCACCTGCAGCACACCACCCTCAGTGCACAGAGGCCACCCCGAGCTCACCTGAGCGGCTGATGCCCCAGCCCCTGAGCTGCTCACTGCCCTGCTTGTCCAGGACCCATGGCTCCTCTCCTCGCTCCAGCTGGGAGATCACCTCAGGCTTGGATCCTGGAATTCCTGCTCATGGGGAGGGAAGTCCTTTCGTCTGTACAATATCCACAAGCACCCTCACCTCACCCCACCCAAGGCCTGCAGGGGGCCTTACCCACGGAGACCACATTCCCGTAGGTCTCCATCATCACATGTCGGTAGAGGCCACGCTGGGCGGGGCCCAGGCGGTCCCACTCATCCTGGGAGAGGAACACGGCCACATCCTCGAAGGTCACCTTGGCCTGGAACAACAGGGGGGGCTGCAGGTTGGACTCAGAGTCCATGTCCCAGACAAGGAAGATACAAGCAGTGTGGGGTGTGAGGACGCGCCCCTGCACAGGGGGGCGACAGGAAGGGGCCACAGTGTTCAAAATGCAGTGATGCTCAGGATGCCACCAGGCCCCTGGGAGTGGGAGGATGTGAGGATGGCGGGGGCGCCACAAAGGCCTTGGGGCTACTCACCTGAGGCACCGCTGGTGGCGGCAGGAACCGGGCCGCCGCCATCATCTGGTCTGTGGCACGTCTGAGGGAGATGGTGTCAGAGGAGTGAGTGGGGCTGAGGAAGAGGAAGGAGCATATGAGGGGCCCAGGATGGTCCCAACCAAGACGCCTGGGGATGCCATGTGCCCCAAGGGCCATTGGACTGCCCAGCTTACCAGGCATGGCCTGCAGTACACACACGGTGCTGGGTGAGTGCATCACGGGGAGGGGGAAACACCAGGCCTGACTGCCTCCAGAGACAACCCCCATGAGGAGAGGCTGCACTTGTGGTGTGGGGACCACAACCCTCCCGTGGGCCCACTGATGCCCTGGGCATGCCTGGTCCTGCCCGGCAGCTCCAGTGAGGGCCTGGTTCTGGTGGAGCATCCAGAGTGACCCAGAGACTCGGTCTGAGCACCAGGCAGGGGGGCTGGGCCTGGGCGGGCTCCGGGGACACTGGGACAAGCACTGCTAAGGCGTGTGCCACACCCACCCTGCCAGACAGCAGGACACAAGCCCAGCAGGCCCATCACCTGGGAAAAATGAAAGGAGTGAATAAAGTTAGCTCAGAATTCATCTCAAACACTGATGTTGGACAAACAGGCATGAGGGTGCCACCAGGCATGAAGAACTAGAAACAACAAGGCTGGTCCCACCTCGCCAGCTCTCAGAACAGACGGTGGGGGAGCCACTGCCTCCTGTGACTACTCCAGTGCCCACACCCCCTAGAAGAGCAGCACCACTCCTCCAACCCTTCATGGGCTGTCCACACTCACCATCTCTCATGGACAGTCATCCTCCCTATGGCCGTATCTGGCCACTCCCTCAGGTGGTCTCCGTCCCCTCCACCCCAAGTGGCCCCTGTCAGGGTCTCCTCTGACCTCCATATGACCAAATCCTTGTCTGCTGTCAGCGGTGCGTGGTCTCCATCAAGTCAGTCACCACGGGGCCCCTGTCCACCCTCACCAGCATGAGATATTGCCTCCCTGAACCATGCGGGTCTGGTCCTCTGGGAACCCAGAGGAGGTAGACAGTCATTTTCACGATGACCTGACCACACCTGGGCAGGATCTAACAATGAGCACCCACAGGAACCCGTTTTCAGGCTCCCTGCGGGTGCTGGCAGCCAGCACAGCTAATCTAGGAGCTGCTGGATCATTCAGCCTGAGACCTCCAGCCAGGCAGGCTCCTGCCTGAGCCCATGTCTGTGACCTGAGCTGCTTCGGTCCCACAGGCCTGGACGTCCAGTGGAGTGCAGGGCTCCTGTTGGTGCGCTAAGCTGGCAACCCCCATCCCCTCCAGCCGGCCATCTCCTCATGGGTGTCCTAGAGCACCTCAGACACTTAACTTCCAGCCCCAACACCCACCCCCTACCCAGGCCTGGTCTGCCCCTGGTCTGGCACCTGCATTCGATCCAGATCAGGAAGTCGCCCTCCTGCTCACCCTCTCACGCCCACTGGACCCACCCTCCTGTAGCAGCACAGTCCTGCCCCGCCCCCACGGGACGCAGAGCCCCTCCTCCGCTCCTGAGGCTGCTGAGAGCCCCGCTCTGAGCGCCCCTCCCCGGGTGCCTCCTGCCCCTCAGCTGGCGCTCAGCCGTCACCCTCTCACTGAGACCGTTCCCGACCCACCTTGGGGGCCTCTGCCTCTTCGTTCTCACACCCCCTGCCAGTCCCAGCGGAACAGCCAGTGGCTCAAAGATGGCTGAACAAGTGCATGAAGTTATAGGAGAAATGACTCCACACTCCACCCTTCAGAACAGCAACAAGTGCCGGAGAAGCACCTACTCCAGCAGCTGTGGAGAAGCGGAGTATCTGCTAGCTCTCTCTCAGGTGAGAAAGTCACCTGGGGTATTTAGGTGCAGTAGACATACCTCTGGGCAATGCACGCCTTCCTCAGATGGACTTGAAACCAGAAGGGAAGGGGACTGAGCACAACCTTTAAAGATGAGACAAAAAGTGGTTAGAACCAATTAGGCCGCTGAAGATGACGGAAGGCTCGCCTTCCAGTGGAGGTTGAGCCTCATTATGTGCTCACTGCGATACATCTGCTAAATGACAACACACCCACAGACCCCACAGCTCCCAGGCCAGACGACCAGAAAGGCTGAAAAGTGGGCAGTGACCCAATTCCTGAATTCCTGGAAGCCCCTGGCCCTCCCTGAAATGGCTGGATTAATCCTCCTATTCAGCAGCCTATGAAACTACACAGCCCATAGAA